TGTTTTATTTATACAGTACCATGATTCCATAGATTCACGTTAAATGTGATTCCATTGATTATGGAAATTTTGATTATTAATGTAATTATTTTCATTAATAATTTTTATTAGAAGGCATTCTAAATATTGTATACGTGCGAAAAGCCTTTTTACGAAAGGATGTCGACATAAATCGTTTGGAGAATCCAATAAAGGTTGATGAGGTAAACTTGAATAATTTCCATTTTCCAGTGTTAATGGAATAGAAGATTCCGATTCAAGACTTGGACTTCTATTGTGTTCAAATTTCGAAGAATCATAATCCGTAGTAAATGATGTAGATTGTGTGCCATTGATTGGAGTAGGCACAAAATTAAAAGTATCTACTCCTAACATTGCGTCGATATTTGTATCGGATATTGAGGCCAAATCATAGTTATTGATTCCTTTTTCTATATTTGTTTTCTGGTCATCGTTGTTGTCGACGCGATTTGGATCGAAATATAGAATTCTTAAACCTTCATTAGAATTGTCTTTATTCATATTATTCATATCATAATGTTTATCAGAAACGACGCACAAAGGTGCAACATTTTTAAAAAGAATTTTTGCATCTTCAGCGAGTTTCCTATAAGCATTTTTAACGTGCTCAGTTTCTTTACGCCAGCTTTCACTAGCTTTCGCCGAAACTTCTTTTAAAGACAAATCTAGCTTCAATTGTGATATTTCACGATTAAAAACTTTTCGATAGATAATAAATGGATTGGGAGTTCTATTATATTTAGAATCAGAGTTGTTAAGTGATTTTAAAATTAACTCATCTATCGTTACTTTTGGAGGAAATGAGGGTTTAAAATCATTTAAAATTGATGATATTGAAGTAAATATGGGAGAGGAGGTAGCAAGTGTAGTTTTTTTATTGCGATACTTTGGCATGGTATAAAAAAATATAAATATCTGAATAAAAAATTATCCACAGCAAAATTCTAACAAAAAAGGTTCGCAAAATATAAAATTGAAAGCGTGAGTTTATATGATTTTTTTTTTATAATGAATGTTAAAATAAATCAACGATTATCCTTTTATGTAAGACAAATATAGACATTTTTATAAAGATTCTTGAATTTCGGGGGCCAAATTTTTAAGGTATCTTTGGACAAAAAAAGGTTCTTCAATGATGGATAGTTCTAATTTGGAATTTCTTAATTATAAGTTTAAAGTAGAATTTTATTTTATATAAACCATTTACATATTTAAATTTCTCAGATGATGCTAAAACTTTAGTTAATATTTATTTTTAAATTTGGTGGTTTTATATTTTCAGACCGAGATACAGCATCAGATCCAACATCGTCCGTGACGTAGTATTAGGCTATCCATTAGGCAGCACGTCCCTATGACGATTAGCGTTAGTGTGATTGCGTACATACATACGTACGCACGTAATACGTACGTACGTACATACGTAATACATACGTAATATATGACCATTTATTTAACCGAAAAACTTTGTTTTTTTCAAAGCTAGGGTGCGAAATATGATTTGGGGTTCCTAAAACTAGGAACCAAAAAAAAAAAAAAAAAACTATGTATAACTAGTTAAGTTTTTGTCCTTCATACAAAACAAAAGATACAGTAGATATACTGTGGTTTAGCTAAAGGAAAAGATACCAACATAAGAGTCGGATACGAGTACATTCATAGCGTGTGCCCTCTTCCAGTTTTAAGAGCTAGGCGGTGATTTATACCAGGTACATGAGTATTATACACATACTACGTATATATGTCATGCCAGATAGAAATAGTTAAACATATTGCCTAATCCGGGTACAAAGACCCGGAGTACTCGTGTCCGACTTTTACGGTATACAGTTTCTTCACAATCCTAGTTTAACCTTAATTTATACGAGTTATCTCTACTTTAGTGTTCTCCAAAAAAAGAAAAAAGTCACAACAATTTGGAGTTTTAGGAAAAATGCTTCAAAATAGTTTTTACTAGTGATGTGCCCATGCACATAGGAATATTTCGGAGGTTTTTCTAAATATTTCGGAATCTCATAATTCTGGCCTGCATTAGCAGCAAGCACCATAATGAGTCCAGAATTCCATGTGCATGAAATTTGAACAAAGCTAATTTGTAAGATTTTTATATTTGGATATCGAATGCATTTATGCAGTATGTAGATCATATACTGAAACTCCGCTTTAACCTCCAAAAAAGGGATCGTCTATAGCAGTAGCAGGTGTTATGATCTGGGAGAGTTTTAGTCTTACTTGAACCAATTTAGCTTTGATCGTAAGCAAAACTTATTAATATGGCTCGAATTAATTATTTCTTGATCTAGGTTATTTCGAATAAATTTCGGGTCCACAAAACAATAGGAATGCGTTCACGTGATTATAAGATAAACAACGCTGAATACGTATTGACCACAGTTTATACTTAGAAATAGAATGATCAAATGGCATTTTTGTTATTAGGGCAAAATTTTCTCTTTATTAACGTTTCTCTTTGATACATTTGTTACAGAGGAAATATATTAAGGACATATTTGCTTACAAACAACCAATTATTACTACTAACGCTAATTTTTCTTCAGCGTGAAACCCAACCCCCTTTTATATCTTCATCTCAGACTAAAGCTTTAAACCCTTGATAAGAGCTTCGCACTCCCATTAGGAGCTCTAACTCCTACTAAGAGCTTCTAGCTTCCCCGCCAGGAGCTAATCCCACCAAAATGTACTATGATGATCCCTTCCAGGCTTTATTCAAAATAAAATAAAATAAAATAAAATAATGATATGTAAAGTATGTACTAACTAAAAGAAATAAAAAAAATTAGGCACAAAACAGGATAGATTAGCGATGCAACCAAAATTCAGTAGGTCTGGCCCGAATTATGGGTCGGATTGCACTGGAATGGGCTGGCGTTGATTAATTTTGCCAAGATCACTCAAAATTTTACTAATGAAGCCATTGCTAGGGTTGTAGTTTTTCGTATTCTTGTGTAAGATTCGGTAGTTTTCATGTAATTTATAAGATATGATCATACTATTATATGATTTCATGTGATTGATTGGATCATATGTCATCGATTTTGATAAGTAAATTATGCAAAGTCTCAATAATGCAAGCTAAGCTTTCCATAATTCTGGTACTTTATATCACGTGTGAAATTTGCATGAAATTCATGTTACTGAAACTTACGCAAAACTACATGAAATGTAAGATTGTAAAATGTAATTTCAATTCTAACTATAGCTCACTTACTAAGTAAAGCTAAGCTGTCCAGATGATAATTTTGTCGTAATACAGTTAGGTGTTATTTCTTAATACCGGCCTAAATCCGATGAAATCCAACCCATAATTCGGCCGATATGCTGAATTTTGGTTGCGCTGATAATCTATCCTCTTACGTGACTAGTAGCCAATCAAGCTATAAATTTTGATTAACTCGGTGTTACTGCCGTAACATTCTGCGCTCAATATTTACATATTTTTAATCCTTTGTTATTATTTCCTTATATGTATTATTTCTTATTAGTATAGATATCTGTTCATTATCATTATAATTACCCCGTATAATTGTTTGTCGTAGTCTTTATTTGTTGTCCTACTGATGATTAATGGATTCACGATATTCCTATTTTAACCAATTCCCGTTTATTCCATTTATGGTATATGTTATGGTATATGTTAATTGGCAGTGTCACCATCGTATGGGAGAATCATGCCGAGTTTAACTCCGTAAGATAAGATGTGGAAGTTTGATGAAAACAAGGGAGCTCGCATTTCATGGTTATTAAGCATTAGGCGAGACCAACTTGATTTGGTGGTTTATATTACATCCCTTTTTCAAAAGAGGGGAGAAAAATGGAACATATACATAGTAAATTTATTAAAATTTTTTTTCAATCGGAAATTATCGGCCTGGCCTTACCCGCCTTTTATGTTCGTTCATTTTCTTTTCGGAATTTTTCGGATCCTTACAATTTCCAATCTTAATTCCGCCGGAATTGACTCTCCGGCCAAAATCATATATGTATATCCCAAAATTTTTTTTTTACTAAGAGAGAGGGGGAGGTCAAAAGAAGGGGGTAATGCAAACCACCAAATCAAATTGGTCTGGCCTTATTATAGAAAAAGAATATATTATTTATGTATTCTTTATCTAGCACGATTTCAGAGAGCATATATGGGAACGCCCACAGCAAAAGCAGGGGATGGGACTATATAATATATAGTCCCATCCCCTGCTTTGCTGTGGGCGTCCCCATATTAGATACATTAGATAGTGAACTAAATGGTGAACTAAGGGTGAGAACAACTCCTTATAGGGTAGATTGAAGAACAGTTAACCCAGTGATATTTTCGTGGTCATCACATCACATGATTAAATATTCGGCCTAAATTAGGGTTAGTGTTGGGGTCAGGTGATTATATAGTTTAGGCCGATTTGATAGTGTTAGTAAACAAATGACGTCATTGCATTGTTTCACGTGATGTGATTATCACTGGGTTAACTATTCTTCAAGTGTCCCCTCCTTATATACATTTCATTTCTTTTAATGTCTACGCTATGATTATAATATCTACATTACAAATTCTGACTCACACATGCTTTCTCACAGGCAGCTCATTCTATCAAGTTTATGCAAACGCGTATATGCTCAAAATATCACATAAACGCGACTAGGGAAAATTCACATGGGTTAAGTCACTAAGAATACATAATGTCTAATACGTACTATAAGGGTAGGATTAACATGGCTATGGTGATACAGATTATGGATAATATGTGACAACTTAATGAATTAAACAAATACGGAAGTGAGAGACACGGGGAAAATTTTTCGTTACAGTAGGGAAGGTGTTGAAAGATTGTTTAGTTAGTCGAGACCTTGATATTATTGACCATTGAGGCTGCATAAGCTTCATCAATGACTTCAATGGCATTGTGTCTTAGATCCGACATTAAAGGAAATTTATTCCACTCATTCTGTCTTGACTGCGGAACATCCTTAATGTATATAAACTAGAGATGTAAGCCAAACCCGGTAGTTTGGGACTTAGTAGATTCCCAAAGGGTTTTTACTAGTTACTACCATTGTATAGTAACTCAAACAACACAAAATACTATCTCACATGATCACGTCATAATCTGCGCCACAGCTATTTAATGGCGTTAAATACATATTATATAGAGCGATAAGTGTTTCAATAACACAGTAAATTTATTGATATTTACATGCTTACAAGGAAACAAACCAGAGAAAGTGTTGAGCGATACAAAATATTGTGTGTGCAAAAAAAAAAGAGTGCAAATAAAAAAAAATGCACAAAAAAAAGAGTGCAAAAACAAAAAGTGCAAAAAAAAAGGGTGCAAAAAAAAGGGCTCAAACAAAAAAAATGAGCAAAGAAAAAAGTGCACAAACAAAAAAAATCAAAAAAATAAAATTACTACAACAAATTTGCAGACCAGAGTTCACTTTTTATGATAGTCAAAGAATTAAAATCCATATTACCACTTCCCTGGGTTATGGTTGCATAAGGTATTTCTTTAGCATTATCTTATCTACCAAAACTCGTACCAAATTAACTATTGACTCAATCTCAAGATTCTCATGATTTGAGAATTGAAAAGATTCTGAAATATCATTTAGTTCAAAAATTATGTCATTATTATTTGTTGTTGCATAGGTTGTTTGAGTTAATGCACTATCACAAAGTTCACTTTCTGATAACTCTTTTCCATAAAATTTAAGTTTATTCTTGAGATTGGGGATGTAAAATGAATGAATTTGAGCCATGCATTCTAATCGTTCAGGTAATAATCGAGATTGGTATGTATCATATAGCCACCTTAAAATAGAGAAATTGAGCTTACAACTTGCTTGTGAAGCATTATTGCAAAAATGATTTGTGCAAATTTTTGAAGGTTAGAACATTTGTCTTCAATTATACTCCACTACAAACTAGGTAATTTGGAAAATCATAATCGAAGTCAAATAGAAATTTCTTATTGTAATAATGAATAAATTGCATAGTCATTTAGCGACACGCAGCTT